CAAATAGTTGGACTCCAGCATTTAGAACTTTGATAATTAAATATTATAATTAAATATGAATAGTTAAATATGAACACAGACATTTCAACCTAGTCCTCTATTACACTTTAATAGAGACAAAAAGGAAATCATCAAGAATAAAGTGCTGCATTTTGAAGTTCACTTCAAAGATTGATAAGGTGAATTTTTGAGGCACATACACAGAAACCAAAATACTGATAAAGTCAAAGTCAAGGGCACAAATACGCAAATATTAGTTGGGATGTCATCATTTAATGACAATACAAAGACTGTTTTGGATCAAAGTCAAAAATCAATTATTTCAAATTTTATGTGAAAATCAAAAATCAAAATGAAATTATCTGTTGTCAGATATCTTTTAGGTGTGGTCAAAGACCACCTGGCTCTCATTTGCTAAGCTAGAACAGCAGCTAGCTTGGGGGCCAGTATTTCAGACAGTCTTTGCTGCGTGGGACCATAGCATCAGTTACCATGGCAACTGATATGAAAACTGAGCTGAAAACACGGTCATTTAGGAGCCAGTTGTGGTAAATTTGAGGCAAACAGTTAGAAAATGTGCCAATTCCATCATAAGTATGAGGTTTGAGTTGACTGAGAATACATGGGCAGACTACAGTACTTCTGATCTTTTCATACTATTATGAAAAGACAGGTTATTCTAGTTCTGTCAATCGAGATTGTTGTTTTGTCTTTGAACATGGTATGTTACTACTTGGCACCTTTTTAGGTTTTCTAATAAATACAGCAGAATCAAAGTTAGGCTGAACCATTGGCAAAAAAAACTTGTGATTATTATGACAGATATTTTGATTGAAATATGAACAGGATTTTACCTGGAATGGTACCATGTGGGTTTCATTTCCATCTCTAATAAAAAACAATAATGATGTTGTTGATGTGAATTTTTCAGCCTTTGCAGCTTTCCAAAAAAGAAAGTTATCAGGGATAACCAAACTCACTGTGACAGCTTCTAAAGACAGAAAATGGAGGAAGAACTTTATAAACTTTCAAATTGATGGGGTGAAAGTCAGGGAGATGCCTTGGGGGCCAATCAGAAGCAAAGACCTTGATGTGTAGGTTTAAGCAGACTGCAATATAGCAAGCTATTCACGCACCACACACACACACACGCACAGTGTATGATCTGCCGTGCTCTTTTAAAGACGGTCTTCAAAGCGTCTTCACTTCACTCCTCGTTATCTCACACTAGCTAATATGAGAAAGAAAACGCACACACACACACACACAC